CAGCTGATCCTTTAAAAAAAACCCAGGGACTGTGCTAATTTAAGTTTGAAGCCTACAAAAAATAATAGCAGGTTAAGCAGGATGGCAGATGAAAAGTATCTTAGTAAATGAATGGAGAAGCAGAAACACCCCTCTTCCCTCCCATGACAATTAAAGTGATTTTGGTTAACTTAAGGGTCTAGCCAGGTTTAGGGACTTGGCAAAATTATCAGGAAAGAAAAAGAGCAGAATAAAAAGTACAGGAACAAGCTGCAGTATGTTAGCAGTAGCGTGGAATCTAAACTGTGATGTCAAAATCTTCTTAGCCAATAGGGTATGCTTAAATGCTTACTAGGCAGACTTTACAGTACATTTTCTTAACCGATAGGCGCTATAGTAACTAATTCTTGTCCATCAAGCTAATGAGAGTGAGATTTAATGCGATTATGAAACTGATAGTGAAAACAGCTTTAACTGAAATGCCTGTTGGGAAGCCTGATTGTCTTCACCAGGCTAGTGTTGGGTTTTTCTTGAACATGAATGCTAGTTATTGCTATTTAGTATACTAATGAGGACAACAGGTGTTAAGGAAGGTCCTTTGTTTTCCAATGCAAGTTTCATAAACTGTTTTCTACATTGTATAATATAAATGGGTTAACAGGTCAGCAAATTGGTCAGGATTTGAGATTCAAGTTTTGATAGTTTCCTTCAGGAAACTGAGCCAAAGGACACAGGGACATGTAAGTAAAATCATGGTGGCTATAACTGTGTCCATATGAAGAGGCAGTTGGAACCTCCAATATTACAGTATGGTTAGCTTAACCACAACCACCTATTTTCCCAGACTCTTCAGGTTGGTGGTAATGTTGAGCTTTACAGTGTGGTCTGAAACTTAATCTCTGTTTCACATGCTTATAATTTTGATCAAGGTTTAAGCAATTGCCTAGAAGCACCAGGCTACAATAATAGTTCTGCTTAGATATGTATAAATTATCACAAGTTGGTTGTAATAAGGTATTGTACATAGCTCTTCTATTAAACATCCATTAAATACTTTGCTGCATAACACTTAGGCTTTTTGTTATATAGGGTATGATACCAATGCATATTTAGAAAAGAATTACTTTAACCCCTTTATGTATGTTATATTACATTATATATTAATTTCCAGTGATCATACAAAAATGATTCAAATCTTGACATTTTATTTTAGAAATCCTTCCCTGAAGCAGCAGTTGTTTTCCTATGCTATTCTGGGATTTGCCCTGTCCGAAGCCATGGGTCTCTTCTGTCTGATGGTTGCATTCTTGATCCTGTTTGCCATGTGAAAAGTTCTGTTCATAACATTGGGATTAATGAACTACCATGTGATTCTGTGAACTTCGGCTCGGGAAAATGTATATCATGGAAATGTATGCTACTTCCAAAGCAGCTTAATTAAAGATGGTAACAAGTTTAAACTGATTGTGGTTTGTTCTTGTTTACTTTAACTTGTTCAAAGTTCACCCAAAAATGGGTCTGAATGTATCTGTCAGAAGCTTATGATGGGAAAATTATTAATAAAAGTTGGTAGAACTACATTATACTATGGAAATAATTTCAGCTTTATCATGCATGGACTTAAATTATGTTAGCAAGCAATGAGGCTAGCATCAACAATTAAAAGCAGTGCTTCCTGCTTGGTATTTGTCTTTTTTTTTACATCACAGAGGTGTATTGCTACTGCAATTAATACTAGCTTAGCTAAACCTGTTAATGGATTGTTGACATACCTGTATAATTACCTGAAGTGCTTCAAGTAAAGTACCTTAATTAACAAACCATATATAGGGAAAAATATTTTATATATATTCCTGAATATTTGAGGCTGAAATATTTATTTAAACAACTTATATGCCGCCCCATCGCATGAGCCTCGGGGCGGCTTACAATCATTAAAATTGCATATAAAATACAAAAAAATCATACATAAATAAATGCAAAGAATAAAATAAAATAGAATAGTGGATCCAGCCTGGTCAAATAAACCATTAACAGTTAAAATAGCATTTAAATAAAAAGGTCTTGGCCTGGTGCCGAAAAACAAATAAGGACGGCGCCAGGCGGACCTCTCTGGGGAGCGTATTCACTAGGTTGGGCGCCACCACAGAGAAAGCCCTCCTCTGAGTACTCACCCTCCAAATGTCCTTCACGGAGGGTTCCCGGAGTAGGGCCTCTGCCGCCGATCTCGGGGCGGTAGGGCATATATGGACGTAGGCGCTCCTTTAGGTAGCCAGACGCTCCTTTAGGTAACCAGTTTTGGCCCTGAGGAACATACTGTGGGTGCAGCCTTTGAAACATCTGTCATCACATGTGTACATATAGGTATATCCACATAGTTAAAGTTAGTGGTTTTCAGTACACCTTGTAACCAGTTTCATAGTTTAACTATGGGCTGCGAAGTACTTTTGTCTCTCCCAAATCTCCCACCATCCACCTTTGTTAATTGACCTTGAATTCTAGTATTATGAGGAATAAAAACATTTCCCTATCACTTCTTCTGTATCACAAATAACTGTGAAATACCTATCATGTTCCCACCCCAACATATTCTATGCTTACTTGCCTTTTCCCTGAACTTAAAAATCCTAGGAGATTTTTACCTGACCCCAATCAATTTGGTTGTTTTTCCTTTGCCTTTTTCAGCTCTATCTCTTGTTCCGGATCTGCATCCAGAATTGTACACAGTAGTCTGAGATCTCTAGAGTCAGAACATCTGGCAAACATTACTCTAGAGGTAGTTCCCACATTTTATCACAACTATGCAAGTGTGTTAGTGCATATCACATAATCACTTCACTTAGCTCCTCTTGCAAGTTATGTCATACTTGGTTGTAACACCTGAAGCAGGAATTCTTGCTTTTCTCCTCAAGCCTGAGGCAATGCTGTGGGTCTGTTCTTTGTTTAGCCACACTTGCTTTCAGGAGGAGCCAATTGGAAGTGTTAGTGCACAAGCATGGTGCTCAGTTCTGATAACCCCGGCTTACATTTTATGTTTTATTAGCCCATTGGCACTTATCCTGCTTTATGGTGCAATCCTAGACAGATGGTGCACTGTAGATGTTATAGTCCAATTCAGAGTTTTACTCGTGAGTTATTTGTACTAGAATTTTAAAACATGACAACTTAATAGCAAACACTTCCTTTCCAATTTTTAGAATTTAAGAGGGAGGGAAATGGAGTGACAACTGTTAATGCACTAATTCCAGCATGCCTAGGGGCTGTGTGCATAAATATAATTGACTTGCATTGAACTGCTACTATTCTATGAAATTTCTGAAAACAAAGCTTTTAAGTGGAAATATATATATAGTAATAGACCTACATAAGGTACTATGAGAAAGCAGAAGACATTGGTGGGCTATGGGTTTCTGTGCAGACTAGAAGGTGTGTTGGGCACATTAACAGTTTGTCCAAGGCACAGAAAGCGATGGAGAGGTGTCTGGCAATGTGTGGAGTTACCTTCTATCTTAGACTTTAAGAAAGAGTCATTTGTTGATTCAACTGTAATGAATTGGTGAATGATTATGAATAGTAACAAGGTAGAGGGCAAGCACTGATGTTTAAAACTTACTTGTAAGGCAAGCATTCTGTAGTTGTCAAAGGGACAAACAGGAATGGTTGTAGATAATGTTGCAGCAGAAATCCATGCGTGTTTAGTCAGAACTGAAGCCCACCAAGTTGAGTGGGACTTACTGACAGGTAAATGAACGTAATTGCAGCCTTAATGAATCTATGACAGTACAACAGGTATAATTGGGAATGTAACTTGTGGCTCTCCAGAAATTTCTTTATATTTCCTCAATGTTGGCTATACTGGGAAGGGCTAATAGCAGTTGGAAGGCCTACCCCTTGCCTACCCCATGACTGAGCTCTCTTCCCTTAAATACCAGCATGTTGAAGATACACACAAGAGGTAAAGGTCTTCATGTCTCGCTGCATTTAAGTATCCCAAAGGCATTCAGTTGCCTGCTACTGGAAGTAGAAGACTGCTTGACTGGGTGGCAGTTTGGGTCTTGGCCTAGCAGGGCTTTCTTAATCTGGGTGGACAAGTCTGGCAGTGAAAATCTTGGCCATTGGCAAGTTCCTTCATTCTATTTATATACTGCCCATAACCAACCATTGGGCAGTTCACAAAAATTCAACCCCAAAATACAACATCATATAAAATCTTTCACACAAAAACTTGAAAGAGCTTTAAAAATTACAATTGAGTCCTGGGAAATGATAAAGCAACTGACATTAAAAGCCCCACCATATGTCAAATGCCTGGGAGAAACATCTTAAAGTGATGTTGAAAAAGTAACCATGTAGGTACCAAGGGAGAGCATTCCACTGTGGTGGCTGGCTAGGTAGGGGGATCACTGAGAAGGCCCCTTGATGCTATTCTCAAAGTAGGGATTCAGATACTTGAAAGAATATCCAGGTAGGTTCACACTGGGAGAGGTGCTTCGAGTCCTGAGATTCTGATCTTAGCTGCATACAGGTGAAAACCAGTATCCTGAATTGGCCTAAATATACAGACAGCAAATGCGAGCAGGTCTGAATTGATGGCATATGCTCAGACCTTGCTTGCTGCTGTCAGTCTGGCAGCCATATTTTACACAAGCTGCAGTTTCTGAATGGCCTTCAAGGGCGGCCCCACACCAAGTGCATTGCAGTAATCTAACCTGGAGGTTAATGGAGCATTGACTACTAAGGCCCGCCTTCAGTCAGGGCTCTCTGATATTTTCCGTCACTCACATGGGTCAGAAAACAAGTATCTCTGCCTCTCGGCTCCAGCCTCCTCGCGCAATCGCAGGGAGGGAAGAGCGGGCCGTTTCCGGCCACACAGACGAAGGAGGGTCGTCAACAACCCCGCCTTCGCGGAACCCGTCACCACGTGTCACTCCGACTGGTCTGCTCTTTTTTCCTCCTCCTCCTCCTCCTCCTCCTCCTCCTCCCGTCCTCCCCGCTCTCCATATCACCTGACTGCATCTTCCCCTGACCCGGGCAGGGGGGGCGGAGTGAAGAGCAAACGAGAAAGAAAGAGATGTGTCAGTGAGTTCCCGCGAGATGTGACGGAAGCCTGTGGGGGACCTGGGCTTTAATGTGCGGCTCCGCCGGCGGTCGTGAGGGGTGAGTGTGTTTGGTGTGTGCTTCTCTTCTCTTCTTTCTTTCTTTCCTTTTTTTTCGTGGTATGTAAACAGAGGAAGCCGGTGCCTCGCCCTTCTCTCCCTCTCCTTCGCTGTTTGTGTGTAACGGCTCGGGGTGTGGCTCCAGCCTCCCCGGGCGTGGGCTTGGGTGGAAGTCGCCGGGCCCTGCTTGAGGGTAGGTGGGGAGGCTGGGAGGTTGTAACATGGCGCCGTCGCCACTGCTCTGGGTAGGGCGGGGGGATGCTTTTTCCTACCCGTTGTCCGAAGAACGCCTTTAGATATTGGAGAGCTTTTAGTCGCCGCCGTCACCAACGGTAGAGGAAAACGTGTATCCAGCTTCTGCCATAGCTTCTCTCCCCCTACTTTCATCTTGCCCTTGGTCCAGACCACTCCTCACTGGGAGAAACATTTCGAAAGAGCCCCCACACAAACACACACATCTCCAATATGTTATGGAAGGTTAAAGGGGAGGGGGTACATACGGGGAAGCTCCTTCTCTTTTGTACTGCAGAAATAGGAATACGTGCATATATATATACTGCATATGGTATAGAGGAGGGGAAAAGGGTGCAGTAAGGTCTACTTTTTTTCTTCTCCCCCCAACTGAGGAGGGTTTGGGGCCGAGAAATCTTGCCTGGTTACTCATAGCAACCGCATGTATATTGAAGGAGGATGGGTAAAGGCAAGAACACAACTCCTCACCCATTTGCTGCAGGTAAATGGGTGTAAACACTTGCACGAGTTCTCTCCATCCTATTGTCCTCCAGAAGATTTGGATTACAATTCCAGTATTCCCGGTCATTGGTCATGCTGTTTGCAGATGGTAGGAGTTGAAGGCCAAAACATTTAGAGGGTATCAGATTGGGAAAGGTTGACTTAACACCTACCTGTGCTGATTATGGACAGGCAGGAAGGGGAAGCACTGAGACCCTTGTTTTTACCAGGTTGAGTTTTGTAATCTTGAAGTAAAACAAAACCAGCATGGATGTAGTGCCCCAGCCAAATGCGACTTTCCTTTTAGCTGCTGAAGAATGTGTGTAGAAAACAATGCAGAATAAGTGCTTGCTCCTGCTGTTCTGCCTCTAATTCTTCAGTCTAACACAAACCATATATTTGCCATTCTGTGTAACCTTCATCCAATCAACCTGTTAGTTTTCCAGTGCTTAATAGAAGAATTAGAAATAAGTGCACTGTTTAGGTTATAGGCAAGTCATTTCCCCATGGCCTAATCAGAAAAAGAGGTGGTTGTGGATTGGAGGGCTCTCCTTTATTTATCTGTAAAATGTCTATTTCAGTTGTGCAAAGTTTGTTTAATCAATCTTACTGCAATTATGTTGTGAAAACTTACAGCATAGTTAGAATGAAACTAATGACAGTTGGGAGTGCATGAATTGTTGCAGAATATTCTGTTCCTTTTGGGTTATCATGGCTTGATAGACTCACTAGTTGTAGAAAAGTTTCTGTAATCCACTATGCTAGATTTATGTCAGAGGTGTGGTGTGTTTTTCGTACAACCTCCAAGGACTATACTTGTGTACATTCTGGCTTTTTTAAACCTAAGATCACCAAATCAAAATAATAAACATGGGAAAAGTGATGTTATGATTTGTGTTCTTTTAAAATAATGAAGCTTGGTAAGCTCTCTTAATACATAGAGTATTTTGCAAACTGCACTGTTCATATAATTCTGGAGTAGTGAAATACCTTTCTCCCATTAAATTCTGTTCTGAGTTTTTCCATTAGGAAAAGTTTGATATGGCTCTCATCTGCTTCCCATTGACATACGGTGACCGCAAGTTTATGGGACTTTGCTGTGTTTTTAAAGATGTTTTCTTGGTAGCAGTGTAATTCTACCATGACACCTTCACACAAATAGTCCAGTTGTTTAGCTATTAGATATTAAATTCTCTCTGAAGTTACGGAATAAATTAATATTTCCTGTTGATTTGAGTGAAGATATTTTCTCTACATACTGATAATTTTTTAACTGGTTAAATATTTGGCAAAAGGGCTAGTTTCTTAAACTATGGTTGTTGCTACAAAGTGGGTAGAGATGGGTGTGACATTCTTGGAAAGAAGACAGTCCTGAGCCAAGGAGATACTAAAACGTGCTCTAGCTCTCTAGCATTGCATTCACTGCCGTCTCCAAGGAAGAGGTAAGACAGTCTTGTGTGAGGTGATAGTGATGTGTTCCAGGCCACAGATACTCACATTTAACAGCAGGTTATATGTCACCCAGTTAAAAGTTTATCCTTGTATTCGTATGTGAAACTAACACTTGATAATGGACCAGTGGGGTTGGTAAAAATAGCATAAGTTCTGGAAGAGTGGTTTAAAAAAAGCCTGATGCTGGGCCAATGAGGTGAGTTAAGTAAGCTTAGAAGAAATATCTAAGTTTGAAAAATACTGCCAGAACTGGGGGGTGGGACTGCCAACTGGCAATGTTATCAGGTGCAGACTAATGTCTGAAGCATCTCGCCTAGCCATTCGCAGGAAATGGACTTTCTCTTAAAAAATGCATAAGGTTTTATCCAGCTAAAGTTTGATACTGTTAACTTTTTTGGATTTTCTCTTATGGAGATTGATGGAATAAGGCAGTAGTCCTAAGAACCCTAGGGAGGATGCCTGAAGTATTGTAAGCTGATACCTTGCAGTGAGGGACGTTTGGCCCTAGAGACATCACTGGTTTAATGTCAGTTCTACTGACATGGGTTAAGGGGAAATAGTATGTTGAAGACAGATGGGGAGAAAGATGCCTTGGATCCACTGTATGCAAGGCCCTCTTATTCCCCCAGAGCATACCAAAAGAGGAGGGGAGATATTAGTGGTCCTGAAGATGGTGCAGTGAATTCAGCTACACCTCCCTTCCCATGGAAGGCAATGGAAAGAAGATTTGGTAAAAAAAAATGAAGGCAGGAGGTAGCTCTTCTTCCCCCACCTCAGCATCTTAGTGTTAGTCCATAAATATACTGAACTCTGGCTAGATTGTGCCCTTAAAGATTGCTTAAGAACAGGTCAGCAGTGGCTTAATTCAACTCAAAATTTGCAGTTTTCCTGTATAGAAAAGAAATTTCCCAGTATGTAGAAACTGCATCTTGAAAAGAAGTCAGCTTTTTTCTGATGCTTAAAACACTTTTATGCTAATCTACTGGGACCCATGGTCCTGTGACAACCTAGACTCAATCTTAAGTGTGGGTAATTGTCTTATATGACCCCCCCCCCCCATGTGTTGGACTCAGGCAAAATGGTTGTGTCAGTATGAACTGTTTATCCCTGTGAACAGGGACTTTTTAAAATGTCCATATAAACTGCTGTACTAGAAAAACACAGGTTAGTTCTGATTAATATGGTGACTTATGGTGGTCATTACTATTCCTGTACTTATTTCAGCACAGTGTATTAGTAAATTATTATAGTATATTAGTAAATGTTCTGACAATCTGAAGACAGTATTTTGAAATAGAAAATGAAAATATTGTGAGATTTGCTTAACCTTGTAAACTATGTGACGAAAAATTCTATGTTAACTTATTGCATTGGTTTGCAGGCTGTTCTGCAAAATCCTGAACGTTCTTAAAACTCACTAGAATTTTTTCCATGAGAAGATTGGTAATACTAGAGAAGTTTATCTGAAAGAGTTTAGTTAACACTACTACCAACCCATTTCCTTCAATGCACAGCCCTAGTTATGTGTTGGATTTGTTGCAGCTTGTATACTTATTTCAAATCCCTGTGCTTTAGAACTTCTTTCTAAAAAATAAAAAGGTCCATTTCAGTTCCATGCTAATAATGTTTGGAAGTTGAGGAAAGCTTTCTTTTTTTAGGAAATTGAGTTGAGTTGGTTAAACGTAACTTGCTGTTTCAGGGGCCTCCAACAGGAAGGCTCCAATTAAAATACATTCTGCAGCTATTCTGTCTTTTCCTCCTTAACAGATTTTTTTGTGGAAAGAAAAAGGATGGAAGAAACGGTGGGAAAACACAGGAGGGTTGCAAGTGGAAGACAGTGTCTGGACCTCCAGTAAAATTCCGTGAATAAGGCAGGGTGCTGGCATGATAAATGCACCCTTAAGCGGTTCCTGCTTTTAAATTTTGTTTATTACTGTGTGTTGTGTCTTTTTGCTGCTGTTTCTGTGTTTTATGGAGGGATTTGTTTAGTCATTACATTATTTATTAACTTGGAACTCTTTAGAGAGAGAGTAAGATACAGATGTTTTGGAATAAATGGGGGTAGGGGTGTACTGTGTACTCTGAAGCAGGTGTGCCCAGAATCTGAGAAATCTGAAGGGTTTCCTAGGCAGACAAGTGAAAAACAGTTTTTGAAGGTGGAAAATTTGAAATCCATTGGCCTACTCCAATTTTCATATATATGTTTGATCCAAAATGAACTTGTTCAGATGAACTTTCCTTAAGCATTTCATGCCCCTGGCAGTGTCTTGAGGAATATCCTTGTTGAACTAAACATGCAAAAGAAAATTGTTTTGGATAGCCAATACATCTTACTAGAAATGTCTTCAAGTCGTATTCAAGAAGTAAATCTAAATGAGTAGTGTGCTTTTGAAAAAGCAAAGATTTACAAATAAGGATTTTTTTTCAGATTGAGAACAGCATCGAAATATATTTTAAATAGGCAAGACTCAGGTTTACCATTATTGTAGTAGAAGAGTGGTGATATTTACTTTATTTACTTATAAAGTTTAACCAACACTCTGAGGAGTTGCATATCTGGAACCGGTGTGATATAGTGGCTTAGTATGTTGGGATCTGACAAGGAATTGAATCCACATTCATCCATGAAACGTTGTTAGTTATCTAGACTGAAAGTAATTGACTTAATCCAATTCATAAGGTCAAGCCCTAGAGATAAATTCCTTACCAATTGAAATTTAAGAGAATCAGGAGAAAACTTCAAGTTTGCTTGCAAATATCTGTTCTAGAGCAATAATGTTTATAATGTAACTGTATGCAGCAAGAGGTGCAGGTAAAAGTCAGTTGGTGAACAAATTGAACCTACTTCTTAGTAATATACAAAACTAAATTCAAATGTTAATTGTAAGTTTATGACTATATGAGGAAAGTCCAGGAATTAATTTGGTTTAGGGAACAATCCTATGGACTGTAGGCAGCTTCTGAAGGGCCATAGGTTAGTTTGGATTCCTAGATCTGAGGCTGAAGACAATGCTTTCACCTGAGAGCTGGGAATTAGAGCTCTAGTCCCTTGCCCCTGCACAGTGAGCACAAAACAAGCTGTTTCAGCCACTCTCTGAGGTCAAGCATGCAATCTCAGAGAAGTAAAAGTAGACATTTTGGGGGAGGGGAGGCACTTCTGTGCTCCAGCCACCTTCTTTCCCTCTGCAAGATTCTCTAAATAGACAACTAAAAAAGCCTGTTTAGCACAGAGTGCAGGATAAAAGGACAAGGAGGTGAAGATTGACTCTGCTCTACCTGCTCTGCATAAGATGCCCATAAGACACTTTGTTCAAAGACTGACAGTCATTGCAAGCCAAATACACACTCAATCCATTTTGAAGCATACTTGCTATCTCAAGATTTGAATTTAAAACTTTCATTCAGTATTTCACAACATCCACTCTGTATGGTGAGCTTTATTTGAAACCAAGTTAATGTCCCATTACAAATCATGGGGAAAGAGCAGTAGGATTTAAAATCAATATTATTTCTTTACTTTACTCTCCAGAAGCATATGCCACGAGTGGTACTGTTTTGGATACTGGAATTTGGGATTTATGCTGAAGCAGACATTTGAAGTTTTTTAAAACTGTTACTGAAGAAGACTATCCAGTTGAAACTGTTGGGGAAGCAACAACATTAAATTCAGTTTCACTGTAGTGTTTGCCTGTCATTATGGTGTTTATATACATTTCTTTATGACCATTGTATAATCAATTTCTATTTACCAATTGACTTTTACCTGCACTCTTTGTGCATTTTTACTAAGGTTGTATATATTTTTAGAAAGCTTTGTACACACACACATTGTTCTAGTAGTGGTATTTGCATGCAACATTTGCAATTCCTTCTTCCTCTCAAATCCCTCTCAGAAGGTGGTTTGAGACTAACTATATACATACTGTATTGAATTCCTAGGAAGGGGAATAGAAATGGGATGAATCTAATAGCCCACTGGTACAGATTTGCTTTTCTGATTCTATTCTAACTGGTGCAAATTAAACTTGATATCTGGGGTAGCAATGCCATTCTCTACCTTTCATGCAATAAAAACTTTTTTTTAAAGTTGCAAAGAGACTGTGGTTGTGTTCTTTATTCCTCAGCCAGTAAACAGCTGCAGGGTGCCAAGTTATCACTAGCCACTATCACTAGCCTCTGAGAAGACTGTTACACAGGAGAAGAGTTGTTCCCCAAAGGTGGATGTTTTAATTTTTTTTGAGCCAGGAACAATAGCTAGTGCAGACATTAGGGGATGAGTTGTGAACTTGTACTACCTCTGGTATCTGTACTTGAAGCTGTACTACAAGTATAGATTGGGCAGTAAAACATTCTCTTTGCTCAAGTTTAAAACACTTTAAAAAATCATGCTATATGTCAAAGCATGGAAAGTGATTGTAGTCACTGATTGTATTTAAGTAGAAAGTAATGTTTTTATTGGTTGGTGTTTGGGGCACTTGATTGGCTTTGTTTGCATGAACAGTGCTGCTTGTTCTTTGAGTGTATAAAAAGCATTTTTGGAAAACTACATTTAGGTTTTGTTTTGGTCTGTGGAAATGACCTTGAAAAAAACCTTTTACCTACAACCACCCACCTGCAAAATCCAAAACGTAATGGTGATCTTTTAATCCCCCACCCCTTTATCTCATGGGGAATGCTGTCTGAGCTTGCTTACAGCATTTCTGTCTATTGCACTATGTTTTATCTTCAAGTATCTTTCTACTTTTCTTCTATATCACTGCTATGCATCTGGGGAGAGGGTTGTTGTTCACTGTATGGTGTGATGGGGTATTCATAATTGTGCATTGTTTCTTTAGTTCCTCCCAGGAAAGCAGGGATCACCTCATTTTCTGAATGTTGCTTCCTCTTACTTCACACACAGTTCCTTCTCTGCCTCATTCAAGACTGTCATCTAACAAGTTTTCTCACCAATTTTCCTCATAAAACACCTTTTATGACTTTTACTTAACACTTTTTATTAATATTTCTTAACCCAGCTTCCTTCATATCTCTGAACTGATAACTCTGATAGAAAGGGGAACGATGCCATCAAAAAAGTCTGGACATCATTAGGGCCATCAAGATTCCAAGTTTGTGCCAGCATGTCTCCTCACAGAGCTTGCTAGACTCTTGCTTTCCTGGTTACCAAGCTGCTGGATTTCCTAAGCATCACAGTCATGCTACTGTACCTCGGCAGGATAGAAACCAACACTAGGACCATGAAATTGTAGTTCTCTCCCCAAAATCAGAAGCAGCCATGTTCAAAATGGTGCATTGGTGCACTCTGAACAGCCTGTCAACCAGAGTTTTATGATTTCTGAGGCCTCCAACACCAAATTGGCCCTGGCAGAGGATACCACAGCCAACACCTGGAGTTAGCATTGTAGGAAGATCACAGCAATGCCTCAGATAGTGGACATATTTTTTTCCAACTGGAATCTCCCTACCAATTCCAGGCAGTGCTTTCTCCTTTAAGTCTATTCAGACATTCAACAGCTGTAGATCACAAGGCCTAATGCTTTTAGGGTAACACCCTGCTCCTCCTTCAGTTAGGATCAATTTCAGATCAGTGAATATACTGACCAAATCCTTGGCAGGCATTTCTCAAAGCAGTCCAGAGCAGCTACTCTGAGGAAATGATCAATGGCATCACCTCCCTTTATTCTCCACCTTCTCTCTCTCTACCCATAATATGGTCTAAATCAGCAATGGGGAATAAACAGTCTGTTAAAGGGAGAGTGCCGAAGCAAGCAAAAATTCACCATCTCAGGAACCACCATTAATTTTGTGGCAGAATCTGACCAAGTCACCCGTTTCTCTTGTCCAGCAGTTATTCCCTTGTGCGTGTCCCTATAGATAATTAAAGCTATTCTTCTCATTGAAATCTATCAGATCAGGAAGTAAGAGCTGATCAGACTCAGCTCAAACTGAGTAGCCTTCTAAAGATCACCTGTTTAACTTGTTCCTTTTGCACTCAGAAGCACTGGCCTTTGTAGGCTTCAACTCCCTTTCAGAGGAGGAACCTATTCCCTCCTCAGCAGCTACCTCCAGAGGAGAGTCAACCTTTCCAGAAACCAAGGCAACAAACAGGGAAGTTCCTTGACCTTCTCTTTTCAAGAAGCTGGTGGGCTGCTGTGGTCCAAGGGCATTGACATAGTGCAAAAATTTCTACTCCCTTCCATAGAAAGTAGTGGAAAAACTTAAGATGCTCCATCTAGATCCTCACTGATGGCTCTTCTTTCAGGAGCGATCACTTTCCAAGAAGGTGACATCTCAGTCAAGGATCCTAATGGGAAGCATGCAGATTTGCCCTTCAAAGAGTTCACAAATCAGCTTTACTAGCCTTCAGAGCATCCTCCGCTTTGTCACTCATTCCTCATGCACTCATTATTTGGATGGGGGACTTGCTTAATAATCCTAATTTAGACTGCAGAACCTTGCACAGAGGGCCTCTTTAATTGCATGATGCACTATTCAGAATGCTGTTGTCTATTCTGCCAGGGTGATAGCTGTCTCCAAGCGGTTCATGTAGCTAAAACACTGGAATGCTGACACAATTGCAAGGGCTAATCTGGCCATGGAAGCTTGTCTCTTTGGTGAAGAAACATTCAAAACTTGAAGAAAAATGGATAGGAAGAAAGCAGTGTTGTCATCTCCAGGTCCTATCCCTTTTCTTCCTCTAGAAGTTTTAGCAGGTTCAAAGACATCAGGTCCTTCAGAGACTTCAGGTCCTTCTGATTTTTTTGTATTGTGCTTCATCCCATAGGGCCATCAGGGAACCACCTGTTCCAATATTGTACAGGTATCCCAATCCACTCACTAGGAGTTTTGATAGGAATCAATCCCAAGTGGAGAGTGCAAGAGAACCTTCTCATTGTTCTCATCCAAGAACAATGGCTATAGACCCTAATTCACAAGGGTTATCCCATCAAATTATCCCATAAGCCAAGAGACAGATTTTCTCCCTTCTCTGCCTCCAGCTCCCTCACAGATTAAGTTATGTCACAAGCTATTCAACATCTTATGGACATGAAGGCAGTAGAGCCATAGAACTGTTCTGAAGCATTTATTTTCTTCATTATCCCAAGGAAGGAAGAGTCATAGTGATCCATTTGGATGTAAAACACATAAACAACTGTGTGACATATCACAAATTCAGAAAGGAAACCTTCCAGACCATGCAAGGAGCCCTCCCATCAGGTTTAATATTTAGCCTCAGTAGATGTCACAGAGGCCTGCTTGTACATTCCTATTGTTCTGCTCCACAGGAGATTCCTTCTTTTAGCAGAATAGACACTTTCAATGCTGTGCTCCCCCATTTGGCCGAGCCTTAGCCCTGAGTCTTTAAACGGATACCAATGAAAACCTTTTTCTACCTTCCAGCCATCCATTTATACTGCTGTCTGGACAATCACCCTCACCAGCACCTTCTTTCTTCAAAGCCAAAAATTACCTTTCATGCCACTCAAGCATGACTCAGATCATGGTTTCTTAATGGTCATCAGTAAGGGCCTGACTCTGCCAAAGGGATTGATTCATCTAGGAGCACTTATAAACATACTGGCTCCATTTCTCTGTCTCCAGAAAGAATCTAAAACTGATCTTAGAGCAGTGGATCTCAAGACCCTAGCATACCTTTTATGACTTAATTGCCCGTACTCAGATTCTTCCATTGGCAAGATTTCACTCTCATTCATTACAGTGATTATTCCTACCTTACCCTCAAATGCTACAGATTAATTTCAGTTCTCTCCCCTGTCCACCCCATATTCACTACATCTCTCATTGGATGGGAAGCCTGTTCCAGTTTCCACAAATGAATCCCCCAAGAATAACAATAATATCAGTTTTAATGGGTGGGGGCACTGTTACAATCTGATAGCCCAAGATTAGTAGTCATCTATAGAAGTCAGCCACAGCCTCAGTTAACTAGAACTGTGAATATATTATCTAGCACTTGCCCACTTTCATCATCTCCCATGGGGCTTCACATCCTTATAGGGACAGTATCTCCATAATGGGCCACATAAACCAGCAAGGAATGTCTTATTCCAAGTCACTTAAACAAAACAAAACAAGCTTCTCTTTGGTTGGAGTGATCCATTCTTTTGCTCAGACTGCTACATCCAAGGGATACTGAATGTGACAGTAGGCTCTCTCAGTAACACACTGATTTAGGGGACTCAGTCTTCAGTGTTAAAGCTTTCACCAAACTTACCACCACTTCAGCCATCTGACAGTAGACCATTTCACGTGCCTTAAAATATCAGAAGCTACATTAGTTGTTCTCCTACTTCCACTCTGGCAAGGTAGGAAGCTTGCAGTTTCCACTAACATCTCTGATGATGAGAGTTTTTCACAAAAATAAAGCAAATCATCATTGTCCTCATGGCCCCACGATGTTCAAGATGTACATGGTGCTCCAGAATGCTATAGCTAGCTCAGACAAATTTCTGATTCCTTTAAAGCAACATGATCTCCTCACTCACTTTGTCATCTAGATGCACGCTGGCTATATGTAGCAGCATAGCAACTGAGCAGCAAAAATTCCTGAGACTAGACTACTCAAAACCGGTCATTAATGCTCTTCGGTATTCTAGGAATCAGTCATCTGAATATATCTATAAAGCAACCTCGAGGGCTTTTAATTCATGGTACAAACACTAAACAGTGTACCCTTTCAAGGCAAGCTTCATTCACTTCCTTTACTTACTCCAAGCAGGTTTGGACATGAGCCGTAAGTTTAAAGAGACAGACATAATCTTTTTCCCCAATCTTCTTCTGACCTGGATATCACCAGTGTTGATACATCCCTGACTAAAGTGCTTCTTAATAACTGCTTTTCTCAGCTTTCTGGAAGTGCATAGATTTCCATCATGGAACCTACACACAGCCCTAAAAGTTCTTGCCAACGTCCCTTTTGAACCAGTGTGTCATTCTGGTGTCTGTCTTTTATGGTGGCTTTCCCCATAGCCTCCTCTTCAGCCAGAAGTGTTCCTGAGTTGGGAGTCCCCTCTTTCTGAAACCATTTGTCACTGGCAGCACAGTAATGCACAGACCCTTCATGCCAAAAAAAGGTCCGTGTTTCACCATTCCCAAGTTGGCCTTTCCATCTTTCTGTTCATATCCTTCTTACTTAAAAAGCAATGGCACAGATTTAATATCTGCAGGACTCTAAAGATGTATATGCATAGAACCAAGGATCCAAGCTTCACAGTCTCATTATTTGTGTCTTTCCATCCAACATCACTAGGTAAAAAGGCCTCCAAGGAGCAAGGTTTGCATCATGCTAGTCTGTGATGTAGAGTACATTCTTATCTAATGGCAGACTCCATCAGGACTGCTCCTTTTCTATAAACGCTCCTCTTTCAGAGATCTGTAGAGCAGCTAGCTACGTGGTCACCACCTAACTTTCACAAGGCATTGCAAATTGGATGCATGTGACTCAGCTGAAACAGTCTTCAGCAGGAGGATGCTCCAGTGATAGTATCCCTTTTTGAGGTCAGTTACACACACTTCCTAATCAAATTGAACTTTAGCATGTCTCAGTCTTTGGAATACTTTCTCACACCATGCACTTAATGTGAAGGTCTTTTTTGGTATGATAGGATGGAGTTGTCCAACCCCACCCTTCATGGGTGACTGATGGAATACCAACTGATGTGCTTCTCCGGATACAACACCCTTACCACATGACTTGTGTCTGTTGTGAGTCCATTTATCCTCTTTCAACTCTCAGGGTTCTCTCACAATAATTACTGCTTCACCTCTGTCCTCCTGTTTCACCTTGCTCAGCCTTGGAAGGAACTGGGGGTGGAGCTAGAGGAAACAACACTAAAAAATCACAATAATGCAGTCCCTACCTTTTTGGACTCCTTTATCACACCATACCAAAATGGAACATCTTTGTAATCTTCAGTGTCTCATTTAGTTTTCATTTCAACAGTGCTATAATTTATTTATTCAAGTGACAGAGTAGAAAACAAGGAATTTATGTTGAGGGCACTGAGCATCCTTTTTGATAGTACCCAGAGTTTAGCTTTTCTTGTATGCCTCCAGTGAAGTAGTAGCTGTTCATTTCTAAATGCTCTTGGAAGAAATAGTTTACCTAGACTCATTTCAATCTTGGTAACCTCCCAGTTGGATTACTGCAAGAGCAGGCAACTATTTTGCCCACAGATGCTATATATGGTGCTGGCTGGTTGACTGGGGACCATATGCATGCATGTTTACTAACACTTCCTTTATAGCAATTTTAATATGCAGGGAGATTTAAATCTTCCTTCCTTTTGTGCTGAGATCTCCTCATGTGTTTTCCTACTGCCCAGAAATAGCTTTTTTCCAGTGTCCATTACAGGGAGCAGTGATGCTCTCAAAGCATACCATTTCAATGGGTAGGAAAGCAAGCTAGTTTGTTTCTTGTGCATTGGCCTTGCCGTTTAAAAACAGGCCGTGTAGAGCAGAATATTGATGGGGTGGGTAGCACATGGGGTGAGTCATCCTTGTCTACCACCCTCTTCATCGTCATAATACTCACCTGGGTAACAGAAGAAAATTTTGTGGCCATCACAGCTTGTGCATGTTGAATAGAAGGTGGCCTGCCCATATGTGATTTCCTGGAATGCATTATGTGTGCATATGTTATGCAGCATAAAGTGTTCCTACAAAAGTGGCTGGAATAGGTAGTGATCTCTGTTAAGACTTGTTTGTTTCATAGATGTTATATTTTTCACATCCAGATAAGAAAAGGTTTTGCATAACTCATCTACAAGGGAAAGCTGTGTTTATATTATTTCTTGTGAACAGGGTGGTTTTCTGGATAGTGTTCACATGAGTAGCACATAGGAAGAGACTTCAAATTAATTTCAAGAAAAAGCTAGCTGAGGCAGTCACTGATGGTTTGCATGTGATAATAATGCAAAGTATGGGTTGCCACTGATTCATGGGTAGCTGTTGAATCACAGGTGGTTGTTTCATATGAACCCTGCATTGTGGTTTAATTATGGATTTTTAACAATCCATAAAAGGAATCTGTGCTTTGTTGGGATGTAATCTCTAGGTTGATTGTGGCTAACAACACATAGTGTAATCTTTGCATGTGAAGTCAACCCATGACTGAGAAATTCATACGCAACCCTTATTCTGGATAGTCATTATATGTGAACCATGTTGTTATCTCTGAAGATCAGTGAAGAGAATAATGTTCTCCAGTAAGCAGGTTTCATTGTCTCTAGATATATGCATGAATAAATGTAATGTGTGAACTACATTTCACAGATAGCAGTGGTTCTGTGATCACAATTGCTGGAGAAAATTCCAACATGATCAGGGAATTTTCCATATCCACATTTACCTGCTTACACATGTCCCTTTAGCCAGGGGTTGTTAAGAAAACTCATATTGCAAAATTGCCCCAATCACAGTACTTTTGTGAAGATAATTTATAGAAATATGTATTATAAATTCCAAGCTTTTCGGGTAGGACAGGAAAACAATAATTTAATCATTGACTTTCCTCTTAATTTGCAGAAGCACTGTCATGAAAAGGAAGCTATAATAAGTTATTCACCGTATGAATTTTGGCTTGCACGTGAAATCTGCCAGGTATATATACTACAATACATCTATATTTTGATTAATACAACACAATTTCTATATTTTGTAGATCTGTTTCAGCTTGGGTTGTATAGGCATAGGTGAGATGGTTTCACTCTGACAGATAGAAATGCCCCAAATCACTTGGCTTTTTTTGTTTTCCGTACATGATTTTAGAAACATCCCTCCCAGGTACTAAAATCTGTAGAAGCTGTGCAATATCTTTTCAGGGTTTGTGTTTTTACTCATCAAATATGTTTGTTGTTCCAATATAGGTAATTCAAGGACCTGTAGAATATGAGTGATGACAAACCATTTTTATGCACTGCCCCTGGATGTGGACAGGTAATATATGTTAGTTCTACTCATGTCAGTAAACAGAGAAACTTGCAACATCAGAAGTGGCTTATATATTAGTTTGACTCTGAAGAAGATTTCTATACATTGTTTAATGTTACTGTGAGAGGCGACTGTCAGAATTCAGTGAAGCATTCTTCTTTGCTGCAGATGCTCAATTGTTTGTCAAGAATTTCCTGTTGTTGAGAGTGCAGGGTGAGGAGCATATGGTTCAGTTCCCTTTGCCTCCAGACAATTGGTTCCTTATTCAAGGGGGATCTATATGGAGAAGGCTGGATGGATTAGGAAAAGAAGCTCATAGGTGTCTGTTGTTATCTTTTTAGAATCAACACTTAACCAGGATAGACTGGATTAAAATACCATACTCTGAATTTAGCATTTCATTAAAAATATATTAACAGGTTAAAATGTGCAGTAAGTGAACCCATATTTAAATATCATTTCCTTGATTCTGAATAACTAGTGTGATGTCCACTTATTCCAATAATGATAAATGTTACAGTGGTTGCAAATTGATGTCCTGAGCGTTCTGTAAAAAAAAAAAAAAAAAAACTATAGTGTATGACTAATCCGTAGCAGTCTTCATTTGTATAAAGTTAGGATTTCGTGTTTCCTGTATTCCTATACCATGTGTAAAAAAATTTTTAGAGTGTTTTCCATCCACCAGGAACTCATATCACAGGGTATGTGAGGATGTGTGTTCTTACAGTGGAAGGACCATTGTAACAGAGAAGCTTTTGTTTTGTTTTGTTGGTATAATATCCTTCAATAGTAAATGTAATTTCTCTTAAGTTTGAAAAGGATCTTCTTAAAAATTTAGTCTGATTCAGTAGCTTGTTTCCACATGGGAAACTTCTTTCACTTCAGAACATCATCAACATGGTTCTTAACGCTCTGTGTGACTGCATTTCTTTAACTTGCTTTCTACTTGAATCTATCTATAATGGTGATTAAATTAGATATAAGAAGTAGAGAGAGGTGACTATGAAGTACAGACATATTAGCTGTACTATAAAGGTAAAGATTTCCCCTTGACGTGAAGTCCAGTCATGCCTGACTCTAGGGAGTGGTGCTCATTTCAGTTTCCTAGCCGAGGGAGCCAGCGTTTGTCTGCAGACAGTCTCCGTGTTCATGTGGCCGGCATGACTAAACACCGAAGTGCACGGAATGCTGTACTATACTGGACTAAAAATACAAAAAATCCCAAGTATAGGCAGCAAATTTAAAGAATGGGTTTATAGAATAAGATTGGTAGCAGAGGCCCTCCTCCGGGAACCCTCTTTGAAAGAGGTCAGGAGACGGAGTACCCGGAGGAGGGCCTTCTCTGCAGTGGCGCCCTGACTATGGAAAGTGCTCCCTAGAGAGGTTTGCCTGGTGCCGTCATTATATGTTTTTCTGCGCCAGGTCAAGACCTTTTTATTTGTCCAATATTTTAACACATAGTAATTTTAATTGTGAAATGATTTATTTAATTTATTTGAACGATGCTCAATGTGGAATAGTTAATTTATCTTATTTTATTGAAGTTCTGAAATAATGTTGTAAACCATCCAGAGATGACAGTAATGGACAGCATACAATTTTTTTAAATAAATAAATAAATAGAATCCAGTGTCTGAAACTTAAGCCCCTCTCTTTTACCAGATGTATCAAAGACTGTCCAAAAGATCTAAAATCATAAACCAGCATTTGAAACTTTAAAACATAAATACACAGTAAGCACTCTTTTAATGTAGACCAAAGTTGTAAGTGGACCTTAGAATTCAGGATCAGAGGCTTCCCCATAGACTGACCCAGTTTATCAGTTGTCTGATACAAGGCTTGCAAGATCCTATGTAATACCAGAGCAGCTGAATCAATGACAGCCAATAGAACTGTTGCACCTGGGATCTACATCACATCTTCTCATGACAGAAATGGTTTTGTTAATGCATGGTTAGGAGCTTAACTCATCCTTTATCATAACATTGGCTAGACAAACAGGAGTGCAAATGGTAGGAAGGAACTTCAGCAACACTCATAGCTCTTTATACTGGTGTGCATTGGCCAAAATAGCTTAATCCTGAAGCCCATGAACATTTACTGATATTTTAAAATTGGGGGCAGCACATACTGCTATCTACTTCTGCCTTTGTTAGTGATTAGAAGTATTGAACTATCCACCTGTGTTAGAGCAACAGATTTTTTTAAAAAAAGAGGTGTCAGATAATATATTGTTAATTTATAATGATCAGTTACTGTAACGTTCTGTAATCTATGATCTTGTTTCAGTCTACTATACTGTAGGAAATTTCACCATCATTTCATATTTTGAGTTGTACCAGTTTTATATTCTGAGAAATAAAATGTCAGTATAGTACTGAAGTGCTTGCAACCATGACTATGTGGGGGAAGCACAAGCATGCCCAGGGACACATGAGCTTTGCTTTTTTGAAGTTACACCTAAAGAAACCCTGAAGTGGTGTTTAAGACACTCCCATGTACAAAAAAAGAGATAATACATGTAAAAGTATTATTGCCTCACTGTGCTATCAATATAGTCTTTTTTAAAAAATTAGCTGCTAAATTATTGCTAATGGCTTTTAAGCTATTGTGAAAATGATTCTAAATGTTATCACTTGACTCAAGATTCAAATTTATAACTATATATATTTTAAAACTTTTTGCCACAGCGTTTTACCAACGAGGATCATTTGGCTGTCCATAAACATAAACATGAGATGACACTGAAATTTGGTCCAGCTCGTAATGACAGTGTCATTGTGGCTGGTTAGTATATATATATTTTATTAATCAGTCTTTCTTCTGGAATGTGCACATATTTTATGCATTTTGGTACATGACTTGAATTCTGTAGGCTCATCAGAAATGATATCAAAATATATTTTACTAAGAAAATCAGTTTGCAACTTTATCTTGTTACTCAAATCACACTGTGCCGGTTTTCACTTCTAAGTAATGAAGAGCAGACCAGTTAAATTGAGCTTTGTAAAGGCATTTGTAACAAATCATACTTAGCTGTTAGAGTACTAGGAGGTACTGATCCTAGAAAATGCACAGTCCGCTTTAAATGATTGTCATTAAGTGATTATGCAATGCATTTGTATAGTTTCTTTCGCTTCTTTCTGTAGTTAAAGCTTAAAAAGATTGATCTCAAAATCAGTTGGTCAAAGTACAGAGCTGCCTGACCTCTTTATATCTTTAATAGTCTCTTCATTTACAGTTATCTTATCTACTTGCACTACCCCTTTAAATTTCCTTATTAGGCACCAAAAGAAAGAAATGAGTTGTCTTTAAATTCTTGGGCTATATTGTTAATGTAGAGTGAAGAAGTGGAATTTTGAAAGGAAACATGCCTGACCTCTTTAGAGGAATAATGTATGATGCTTTTAAAGCATTAGCCTATCAAACTTGTTACATGCTTTGCTACTTTCTCCTGAAATAGTGATGATTTATTAAAAAATACTCCCCCATGCAGTAATGGGATGCATCCAAAATTGAAATACACATCCATTCTTGTAAGATGACCCCTACCAATTCCCCTTTACCTCAACCCCCCCCCCCCATCTTATCCCACACTATTTGGTAGAGATCCTTGACTCTGAAGAGCTAATATTTGGAATCTGCAGTGGAGGCTGCAGTGAGGCAGAGGAAGATAAGAAAGTCTCCCTGCTCAATGAAAATTCCGTTCACTATTCTGTAGATGATACCCCCCTCCCCTTTTTTCCATTTATTACCTGCTAAATGATACACTGAATGGTGGTAAATAACTTTCAGATAACAGATAAATAACAGCTATCTTTTTCTCAAACTAATTCAAATGTATTTAACACCATTCAGCTGTATTGAATGTAGTAGCATTACATATAATGTTGATCCTCTGTAGCAGAGATGGGCAGATGTTAGATCTCTAGGTATTTTTTATTCTAAGTTCTCAGAAGCCTTTGCCACCATGGCCAGTGGTCAGGACTGCTGACAGTTGATGTTTCAAGAATCTGTAAATCTACTTTCTGACCACGCCTGCTCCACAGACAGGTTTAACAGGTAACTATACTGAGTGTAAAAAAAATAGAACAGTGCTTCCAACACAGAAATACTTTTACCGACTGACCAGGTTCATACAATCACAGAAAATTAGCCATAGTGGCATATTTTCCCACCCTGTGCTGAGTGTGAGTTGCCTTATTAGCAGCTATTGCTCTAGCTGGTTGACATTTGAATGTTTCAGGGTGATTGTAAACTACCCCAGCCACTTAAGTTCTTCAGGTTCGGACATCACACAAACATGTTCCTGGCAAGGGTAATTAGGCACCTTGCAGCTGGCTTATTTTTCCCTCTGTAATCATGCAAATCTGCCCACAGACTTTCAGGTTGAAATAGTATCAGTAATATGCAACTTGCTTTCTTTGAAGGTTTATGTATGTGCTTTTAATCTTTAGGGATTGCATAAAAGGCAAGCAATAGAAAAACATGATTTTTAAAATATCCTTTTGTGTTGTCATATACTTTAAGCTATTATATAGTGATTATCATTATGGTGCCTTCATTAGTTCCATAACACATTAATTGTGTGTTAGGATTGTGTTTTAGTGTGTATTCAACAATGACTGTGAAAACTAAAGGTCATTCTCATTGACACATCTTAATAAGACTGCGATCATTCTTTCACTTGCTTGGGAATAAGGTCTGGATGGAACGGATGGAAACAGTTTCCCAGCAAATGGGTAAAGAAATGCAACTAAGGTGCGCAAATTAGTCTTTATGCTTAAACCTTGTAGCTTCAACTACTGCATCCATATATTACAGAATCATTATTTCCAAGATGGAATGGATGAATATTTTAAATTCTTCCTAGGTTTTCTCTTATATTTGGGTGAGCAATCTTTTCCTATAGTTGCATGCTGCCTTAAGACATCATAATTTGGTTGTTCCCATGCAGTGCTTAAAGCCTTCCTCTGCAGGGCAGAGGAGTCGATTGATGAACTAAATGTTAGCAACAACAGAATATTTCCATCAGCAACAGTTGCAGGAAATAACCCACCTTTCAGCGTTATAGCCTCTAGTCCAATTTATAAGGTTTCCTGGATTTTTAAAAACATGTTTCTCTGCCTTCTAGAGACCTTCTAATTGTGGGTTTTTTTCCACTGGAAATACTGACAATAAAAGGAATTATTTGCTAAAAGCAGGAATTCTGAACTTTAAAAGTAAAGGTGTTGTTTACAGCAAAATCTTAGGATCATGTTTCTAAAGTATTGGAGACATTCATAATATTGGCATTGATTTTCAAATACATACCAAATGTGTTCTTAAACAGTAAAGTAAATCATATATTTCTCTTTTAATTCTAGATCAGACCCCAACACCAACTCGATTTCTGAAGAATTGTGAAGAAGTGGGTTTATTCAATGAGCTAGCAAGTCCTTTTGAAAATGAATTCAAAAAAGCTTCTGAAGATGATATTAAGAAAGTATGTTAATAGCAATTTAAAACTAAATCACTGTGAATAGTATCTCTGGACTCTATGACACTGGGAGTCTTGCATCAGTAGAAAAGGGCTTTTCACTGCACAAAGCTATCATGGAAATAGTACTTGGAAAAATATTCTTTGAAAGGTCCTAGGAAGTCAAATAACTTTTGTATAAAAATCCATTCTGCTATGTAATCTCACACCTGGGATGTTAGGAATAATTCTAAAGGGGATCAGAATATTGCAATGTTGAAAAGGGGGATAATAGCAACAGGTTTTATATAAGCAGATATATTTACAGCTTTTGGTAGGGATTAAGTTATCTAGTTTATATTAGATAAGTAATAATTTTTAATAAAGAATCTGTGGCAGACCATAATTTCCTTTTATTAGACATCTTGTTATTGCCATCAATAACTGAAATTGATAATAATACTATTAGCTTAATTGTCAATTGCCTGGTATTTAAAGAGCTACCTGCTTGCTTTTACAATTTATATGCATGTTAAATCTTCTAGATGCCTCTAGACTTATCACCTCTTGCAACACCAATTATTAGAAATAAAATTGAAGAGACTTCAGTTGTTGAGACAACTCACCAGGATAGCCCCTTACCTCATCCAGAGTCCACTACCAGTGACGAAAAGGTCAGTAACTTTTCACGGTTCAGAAGAGTGTGCTCATTGTATGGATTTTACCAATAAATTCAAAGAATTCATACTTGAGGACCATGTACATTCTTTGCAAACTTGCTTCCTGCACACATCTGTTAGTCAACAACAGCCTGAACACAAGAGAGACCAGTTCTTGACAGATTACAAAACTGTCAATTTATAGTCACCTGGAGGAAGTGAAGCATTGCAGAATCTCTTATGATGCACCCATTTCTTCCTTTCTTCTTCCCCATCTTACCCTTAAACAAAGACCATGCAGATGCAGTCTCACTCCCCTGCAGGGAAGAGTAAACAAAGCGATCCTCATGTGCCAGCACTGGGCACTCATGTAATGGCAGTGGATGGCATGGAAATATTCATGAAATAAGGTGCATGCAGGGGAGGTTTAAGAAGTTTTCACATGTTAGCAACCATGTCTGCATGGAATATTTCCATCATCTGTAGACGTGGACAGAGAATAACTTTAAAAAGCTTCTGGCAGAATTAAATACTTTTAAGTGTTTTCTCAATAGAAAAACAAGCTTTTCTGTTTCCTGCAGGAAGTGTGTCTGCAGCAGACTGCTCAGCCTACATCCACAATTGTTCGGCCAGCTTCTCTACAGGTTCCTAATGTGTTGCTTGCAAGTTCTGACTCAAGTGTCATTATTCAGCAAGCCATCCCTTCACCAACTTCTAGTACTGTCATTACGCAAGCTCCATCCTCCAATAGGCCAATAGTGTGAGTAGTGTGATACGCAGAGTAAAATATTTTGGCAGGTTTCTTTGTGTAGCATGTTCCTTTAAAAAAAAAAAGTCACATTGACTTGTTTTAAAGTAAAGTAGCTGGTGTTTTCACTGGTCTTATTTAATTATGCCAAACAATGTCTAGAAGGGTTAGTTTAAAAGGAAAAAGTAGTTCCAAGCCTTGAAATGAGAACTGTAATTCTGTGATCTATATAATGGAATGGTAATTTAAACCCAGCCAGTGCTGTGGATAGTGTATGAATCATAATTTCTTGGGCTTGGATCCAGAGTTCCGGTGAGCAGAATAGTTCCACTAGTAGAATGGAAGGAGGAGGTGATTTTTGCTGATTGGGTTAAGAGATAGTTTGGGACAATGTGGGAGGAGGTGCTGGAGACTGCAGGGGAAAATAGGCTTGACAAAAATTACCTTTTTTCTGCTTCATGTCAGTCCCTTTCACAAATGGAAGGGGCCCTTTCATTTATGGAAGGGCAACTCTAGATCCTGTATTTAAAATAATCATATCAATAACCTACATACTGCTTCAAGGATAAATGAAATATACAATGGGCTTAGAACTATAAGTGTTATAGTACTTTTTCCTTTTTCCCCCATGTCTTTTCTTAGACCGGTGCCAGGTCCTTTCCCCCTGCTGTTGCATCTTCCTAATGGACAAACCATGCCTGTTGCTATTCCTGCCACGATCACGAATTCTAATGTGCATGTCCCAACTGCAGTTCCAGTAAGTGTGTGTATATGGCATACACACCTGTTTCCAGAGTTTGGACAAGTCCCACCCCCAAATCCTAATGCTGGGACAGCTGTGGCTCTGGCAGCACTTGATCCAGATGAACATATGTGGGTGAAGCCAATCAGCAGAATGGAAGAGGGACATAAGATCATATCATGCTGACAATTGGGAGACTGAAGCTGGATCCCATCCAGGATCCTGTCAGAAGAAAAACTTAAGAGTATCCCTCAGAAGGAGGAAAGGGATGAATCTTTAACTGGGTTGGGGAGGAAAGAGGTGAATAACAGCCCACACTAGCCATTACCAAGGATTCATTTCCCCAACAGAGACCATCAGAAGAGCCAGGGATGTAGATAGGAAGCACATACTGCTATTAGGCAGAAGTCAGGTTTCCCTGATCTGAACTGATCATATGCAAAGGAGTGATTATCAAGAGCCTTGGATTTGTCAGACTAATCTTACCTGTTTTTTAATTATTGGATTTTCAGTGTAGTGGAATATGAGAATATCATGAATGTGATTTGTCTCTAGTCTCACAAAGCTTTTGACAAAGGACTGTGTCCAGCACTGCCACTTTGCTTATGCTCTTAAAGTCCCACCAATGCAAATACCTCTATTGGTATGCCAGTAGCACAAGCTGGCACAGATTACTTTCTCCAAAACACTTGTCATGCAGGATTACATAGCTGATGCATTCCAGTGGTACATCAGTAATGTAACTGGAGTGGCAGTTTTGGATTTGAACAGAGTGCCCACTGTTCCCTATAATACTTTGGTTAGCAGACTGATTAAAGGTGAGCAAGATGATAATACTGTCCAGTAAATGCAGAGCTGCCTGGAATACCATCCTCAGCCATGGTTCTTCATCAAACTGGAGGGAGATTTCAAGTGGTGCTGCATGGCTTTTCCCTGGGCCTGGCACCCTTCAACACTTGCATCAATGAAGAAAATTCTTAACAAATTTGCAAACTATGCAGAAATGGGAGGGATAGCTAACAACTCATAAACCAGAAATGAAATTCCAAAGTAGTAGATGTACTTTATTCTGCACTAGTCAGACTTCATCTGGAACACTGTATCCAGTTCTGGATGTCACACTTTAAGGAGGATGTAAACAATTCCTAATGGGTTCAGAGAAAGGCATCAAAGATGCCCAGTAGTATGGAAAACAAGGTCTGAAAGATTGAAAGAACTGGGCATGTTTAGCCTGGAGAAGAGAAGATGATATGGCAGAGATGAGTGTTCATGGTAATATTCTTCAAAAAGTACCTGAAGAAAATCCTATAAAAGGGCAAAGGCTTGCTCTCTTCTGCCTCAAACAACAAGACTATATCTAAAAGGCTTAAGTTACAGGAGGATGGATTTCAGGAACATTAAGAGAAACTTCTTGATGGTAAGAGCAGCTCAGCAGTAAAAAACCAATTACTTGAGGAGCAAGGAACTATATGTAGATACAGGCTGAAAAGGGGGTGCTTTAATATGATTTCAATTAGCAAGTTGGACTTGATGGCCTACAAGGCCCCTACGAATTCTTTAGACTTCAAAGAGCTAGCAGCCATTTTTTATGAAGTTCATGGGAATGGAGATTTTGCCTATCAAGTTAGAATAGTAAATCCAGACTAGAAAAAAGCAAGCTAAGTATAAAAATAAAAGCTAAAATTTAGCATATAAGAATCAGTTAAAAAGTAGGCAAAATTCTTAACATGGTAAAATAGAGTCTAACCATGAAAACCTTGCATGAATAAGTGTTCTAACTTAGCACCTAAATTATAGTAATGTTGGCTTCTGATGCATATAACTTCAGAGAGTATTCAAAAGAAAGCATGCCACCAGTAAGAAGGCCACCTTGGTGGACACCACCCACCTAATCTTGGAAGGTGGGGCATCCAGGGAAGGGTCTTTGGAGCATATCTGAACATTCTGTGCTGTGGCAGGACAGCATCAGTATTCTAAGTGCATCTCCACTGAGCAGTCTTGGGAATTCTCATGGCAAAGATACAGGTCAGGGCTAGGCAACCTATGGGCACATATTTTTATGAGGCCTTTCACCTAATTTCAAAAGCCCTCTGCCTGCACCTAGTTCTGACACTTAGTGAGAATGAGCTGTCCTTTTCCTGGAAGCCTATTTCATGGGGAACGGAGAAAAGGCAGGTGAAAGAAACAACAGCAAAAAGAGAGAGAGAGAAAAGGGGTGACTTGTCTATTTTGGCTTTGTCCTTGCCTTCTGCTGGCTTTGACCCAGTCATGAAAGACATGCCATCCTTTACAGGTTAGCCATAAGAGAACACAGTCCTCACTGGGGAGAAAATAGTTGGAAAGCCCTTGGTTAAACAATCCCGCATGCCTGTGAAGTAAAATGTGCTTTTATTTTCATATTAACTCTCACTCTCTTGAACAGCTTGTTAGACCTGTCACCATGGTGCCTAGCATCCCAGGAATTCCAGGTCCTTCTTCTCCACAACCTGTGCAGTCAGAGGCAAAATTGGTGAGTGTTCAGATATTTGGACAGATAAATTAGCACATAATGTTGCAATATAGTCAGCAAAACCCAGTTCTTACTTGGTATTCAGTATCCAACTGGATGCTACTGCTAAGAAGGTCACCTTGCTGGAAACCACCCATCTGTTTTTTGTTTTTTGTTTATATGTTTTAACTTCTGTTAACTTCCCAGAGAACCTTTGGCTGTTGGGCAGTATAAAAATGAAATAAGAATAAATATAAGTGATTAAGCACCCTTGCTTCCCACATTAATTTATAAAGCATTCTAGGATTACCTTAGGTTTACAGAGGAGGGCAATCTTTTTTCTCATACATATAAAAGGAAGCAAAATCTGATTGGGCTGCTGTATATATCAGCGTATAAGGCGACTCATGTATAAAACGAGGTTGATATTTGGGGCTGGTTTTCTGCTGTTTGTCACATGTCAGGTATATAGGACAACTTCTAATTTTTGCTTTGCTATTTTCAGTTTCATGGGACTCTTAGATGCCAGTATATATGGGTATTTGACAACTGGAAACTTAGGTAATAGTCACATTCCCTTTCTGCTTTGGAGGCTGACAGTGGCCTGCAAGATGGCTGACTGGCTGGGGTTACTTTGGGGGAGACAGCTGGTGCCAACACTGCAGCCAGGTGCATGAAGTGGCTGGATGCAGAGGGGTCTGGCAAATGGAAGGAGGCCCGCATGGGCAGCAGTGCAGCACAAGAAGAGTTCCTCCAGAATTTAGTCACCCTTTCAGAGGAGTTCTTGGTGCCCTTAACTGCATGGTTAATGCAGGTTTGTGCCGAGAAACAGGAGTTAAATTTATCATAGGTATGACTCGGGCACTGACCTTTTCTAACTGGTTATAATTCTGCTTTGATAATCAATTTTTTTGTTATTGTGCTAAGATCTGCTAAGGTTTAGACAGAAATTCATAGCTGAAGCCTGTTCGGTACAAAATAATGAAATTGTGAATTTCACCTTTCTTATTTTATTGTTAAGTGAAATGAAAACTTAAAGCAGTATCACACCAAAGATTATGATATTGATTGTTAAAATGTGATGACAGTAGTATCTACATTCTCTTCTCTTTCATTTTTGGTATTCAGTATCCAACTGGGAGCAAAGTACTGATTACCTAAAAGGTGCTATCTAAAATAACTTTATACAGAAAAAGGCCTACAATTGCCAGCATGGTTTAATTTGATGGGTTTTCTTGTTTTCCTTTCTAAACTTGCAAAGGATTGTGCTCTAAGGGTTCTAAACACCTATACCATAGCTGATAACCTTTACAGTGTCTCAGGGACATATGTTACCTTCTGGCCTGTTTAGAGCAGAGATATAATGAGCAATCTTCTTTAGAGATTTGCTGCACTTGGAGCTGTGGAATGTAGTGGTGCATTATAATTTAAATCATAATATTAAGAGAGAGGTTCCTAGGTAGGAACAGAAAGTTCACATTTCTTTACTTTTAACATTTCTGCTGTTAAGAAAAAATTACTAAGGTTTCTGTTACTATTTACATTGCAGTTAATATAAGCGCTTAATTAGCTTGTATCTGATTTAGCTGGAGGCCTGATTTAATTTGATTGTTTCTTTGTTTTATTTACAACTGTCTTTATTTAGAAAGTGCTGAATCTTGTTTGTGTAAGTTTTTTGTAAAGGGATCCATGTGCCGCAGAGACTGGGGCTTTGGGGCTGCTCCAAGGAGAAGCTGCCCTCCTTCTCTGGCTGCCAAGGTCTTCTTGTGAGCTGGAATAAAGGCAGCATTACTCTTGCTTGATGACAAGCAGGAGCAGGCCTGCCCGCTGCTCTGCTGCCCTTGCTGCCACTGGGGCTTTCATGGCTATGCAGAGGGGAGGGCAAACTTGGCACTCCCTGGGATAACCACAGCAGGACCAAGAAGAGGGAAGGTAGCTCTGTACCCAGTCATCTGTTCAATCTAAACAAAAAAAAGTAGGGCTAGAAAGGAGGGCGCAAGAAAATGTGCAGGTCACATTAGTGCTCCTGAACACCATGCTGCCTACTCCTGTTTTTGGCAGTGTGAACACCATGTTGTTTAATTTGCAGTAACTGTTATGTATTTATTTAAATGCATTTTATGTCCTACCCCAAAGCCCAAAGGCTCTCTGTGCAGTTCACTAAACCAAATACATAAATGTTAAAGTTATGTGCAAAACAAGCCTATGTTTGTGAACAATGAAAAGTTGCTGGGGAGGCATGGATCCTGTAGCAATTGAATGATAAAACCAGTTTTGACTGGGAAGTCTTATGTTCTGATAACTGTGTTTACCAAGAGGATTCATGGAAAACAGCAGTTAAAATTGTCTAATTTGTGGTATCTTGTCAGAATGCTAAAATATGCTTTTGTAATTACACAGTTAACAGGATCATTATTTTTATTGCTTAAATCAGTTGTTTGTTACAGTGCATAAATTAGTGCTTCCACTGTATCTTTTACTTCCTATGTACCAATAGAGATCACAGTTTTCTGAGTGCTGATCCTTATGTAGCAAATCATTATCCATGCAGAAGAAGAAGTATCACAAGCTTGGGAAACCCAAAGTTTCAAGATTTACCAATAAAGGAAAAAGAAAAGCATAACGAAGATTGAGTTGTTTCAGTGTCACAGCATACAGATTTATTGAGACAATGGGTGGCAGAAGAATGAAAGCTGGTAGGAGAGAGAAGGAATGCCTCATATTGCAGTGCCCTAGTTATATACGAATAGTGAGCTCATTCCATGGCTTGGATTCAGATAACACAATAAGTCATGGTTGTTTCTTACCATTGTTGGTCTGCTATGTTTTCCAAACCCAGGTATTTCATCATGATAAGTTTGGTCTTAAGAAATAAAGATTTTTCCCTATGGTTTCTCTGTGCCACCATGACTTGTTGGGTTGTCTTGTATGCAATGACCACAGAGTCCTCTGGAAAAGGTGGCAGCTGTGGAAGCTGCTCCAGCCATTCAGCTTCTATTTGTAGACTAACGAAAAAGAGGCAGGTGACATAACAGGGAGTGAGTGATGAAGCTTGAGCTTGAATCTCAGGCACAGTGGCTGGTACAATACATGCCAAGAGCAGAAGGCCTGAGTGAGGAGAATCGAAACCACAATAACATAGTTACCTCTTGATTGTCTGCAAGATAGACCAGTGGTAGAAAAACTATGCGGCATGATAAGCATGTACAGGACAGCTTGTCATATTGTGTGAATGCAGCCTGTGGGTGCCTTTTGTAACCAATATGGTACCACACTTGAACAAGAAGCAAGTATTGGCATGCTAGGGTTGGCAGAAATGCAAAAACCCCTTTGGAGCAAAGCCCAGGAGGGTTTAAAAGAAAGCCCGTGGACATGCTCCATGTACATAGAATATTTGCGAACGGTTATGGGTGGGAAGGGGGAGTGTAGAGGTAGATGAGAGGGGAATTGAATTGTGAATCCTGGAAGCAGGTGGCACAACTGATGAGCTAGCACGTAGCATTCCACAATGCAACAGTTGTTGCATCTACTGCAAAAATGAAGTAGGGGAAATGTGTGCAGTAAAGGAGAAATGTGTCTGATTTCACAACTAAAATCTACCTAGAAGATCATATATATGTAGCCTACAGTAATATTAACTAATTTAAGTTGGTTAGTAGCTGACATGAAATGTATTAGGGGATTGATTTCATGGTTACTTTGAAGAAGACCCCATATATGTACTTTGTGGTCAGTATGGATTTTGTGGCTAACAGTGAGAATATACCAGTGTAAGTATTGAATTCATCACTGTTGGTATGTGATAGGTAGGTGATTGCCCAGTTTTTAACCTGCTGTCACGAAATCCAAACTCCGTAACAATGAAACAGGCTTGGATTACATCAGAATGAATTTATTAATAAAAATACAGTGGTACCTCGGCTCACGAATGCCTCAGTTCATGACCAAATCGGGTCGTGAACAAAAATTTCATAAATTTCAGGTTGCGAACCACGCATTGGGTGGTGACTGTGATCGCGGCCATCCCCCCCCCCCCCCCCCGAGTGGGGAGATGGCTGCAATCATGCTGAGTGCAGTGGGGAGATGGCCGAGATCACGCCTGTCTTTCCTGCAGGAGCACAACCACGATCTCGGCCATCTCCCACCCACCCCCCCAGCACGATCGTGCCCACCTCCTCTGCCCCAGCTCACCAGGATGACAGGCGCATGCAGGGATGACAAGGAGATGGCCGCTCTTATAGTGGGAGTGGGGGAGATGGCCACGATATTTGTTGCTCTTTGCTTCCAATTTTTCTGATTTTAAAAAATAGTTACAGAATGGATCAACCTTATTTACAGTGAACCTTATGGGGAAATTTAACTTGGCTTATGACCAATTTGGGTCACAACCAGAGTCCTGGAATGGATTAAGTTCGTGAACCAAGGTACCACTGTATTAAAGGGAATCATTGTTATAGTAGGGAGACAGATGGCAGATCTGACTAGAAGAGTATTGAATATAATAGAGGTTATATGTAAGAAAAAATTAAAAAGTGCACAATAGCATTGGATATTTTCAAAGCCTTTGATTGTGTGGAATGGCCAACAATAAAGAATCTAATAGAAGCATTAGGATTCAGAATACAATTCAAAGGCATAATAAATCAATTGTATTCAGGAAATTTTGCGAATGATAATAAATGATGGTATAACAAAGCAATCATCTTGGAGTCGAGGTGCTAGACAAGGATGTCTCCTTTCCCCATTATAGTTTGGGGAAACAGATAAAGGTTTTGAGAATGAAATTAAGATTATCTCATTTGCTGATGATACCTTGTTAACAATAGAAGATCCATCTGAAGATATAGACCAGGTTAAAATACATTTAGAAGAATTTGGAGAGATAACAGGTTTTAAGATAAACTGGGGTTAATCAGAGATGGTGTTACTTAATTGTAACAAAGAAGAGAAGGAAAGGGTTAGGAATAAATTGAAAGTTAAGATATATAGTGTTATTAAGTATTTAGATAAAAACATTACTT